ACCCAGGCTGGAGTGTAGTGGCACAATCTCGGCTCACTGCAGCCTTTGCCTCCCAGGTTCAAGCAATTCTCCTGAGTAGCTGGGATTACAAGTTCGCACCACCATGCCTGGCTAGTTTTTGTATTTTTAGTAGAGATGGGGTTTCACCATGTTGGTCAGGCTGGTCTCAAACTCTTGACCTCATAATCTGCCCGCCTCAACCTCCCAAAGTACTGGGGATTATAGGCATGAGCCACTGTGCCGGGCTTAAAAAATTTTTTTCAAGGAGTCCAGAGCCTTGACTGTGTCCCTACAGTTAAGATGGTGGGGTGGGAAAGAGAAAAGGGATCAAAGTGTCTCAAAAAGAGCCCAATTGCCCCTTTGGCTTAGTTTGGCAACCCTGTTATACCTAAAGTAGGAACTGCAGCTACAGAGGATGTTCTTGTGGGCATTGAACTCAAAGCCATTGACCTTGATGACCACGTCACAGAGCTTGCCCTCTAGCCTAAGCTCGTTGAAGATCTCACAGGTCATCGCACTCATCTTCCTCTCCATGTGAGGCTGGTGGAAACGTGTGGAGGCCGCCATGCTCTCCATCTCCATGGCAACCCGGGACCAGCGGAGAGAGGTTGCTCTCCTAGAGTGTTGGGGAGGGTTGTGGGGGGCCCCTTTAGCCAGCTGTCGCTCCTTTTCCCTACTACATCTATAGGGCCTATCAGGCAGACCAAGTTCCAGAATCCTGGGCCTGCAGTGAGATCATGCAGGATTGTGCTCTCAGGTTCTGGAACTGCCTCCTGGCCTTGTCCACTTCCTTCTCTCCTCCCCCCAACCCCACTTAGGCTGAAAAGCACCTCACACCTCCTTCTGTGTTCTCAAACCCAGAACAGAACCGTGACCACTAGCACCATCTGAGTGTTTATTGGTTCCAGCTCCTGTTACTCACCTGATACAGGTCTCTATCCCTGGAACATCCATCTACCTTTTGCCACCCAGCACTTGGCTCCCTAGACACTGAACTCAAGGAAATCCAAGTCACTTGAGGCTGAAGGGAAAAGTAAAACCGATTAAATTTATTTATTTATTTTTTTGAGGGAAAAAGAGAAAAAGAAGGGAAAAAAAGAAAAAGAGGGAAAAAGGAATATTACTTCATTCCTAAAATGGGTTTCAATAATGGCCGATCAATATTTTGAGTGTTTAAAGTGGTTAATGCATATTTTATGTGTTTAAAATGGAGACCTCTATTGTGTTTATTTGTTCTGGCTCTGAGTTCAAGTCCTGGATATCATTATCAATTTGTTGTCTCGTGGAATCTAAATCTCATTATGTGTCTTATGTATCTGGGTGTTAAGATCTCTTATTGTTACATTAATCCTTTTACCCTTGCATCCTTGTAGCTCTGAAATCTATTTTATTAAGTGTGAGAATTACAACTCCTGCTTTTTATTTATTTATTTTTGCTCTCCATTTGGTTGGTGAGTTTTTTTCCATCCCCTTGTTTTGAGTCTTTGTATATCTTTAGATATATTGTTAGATTTTGTGGATAATGAATATTTTGTGTGTTTAAAATGGAGAGCTCTATTAAGTTTATTTGTTCTGTATCTTAGTTCCAGTCCCGGATATCGTTATCAATTTTCTGTCTCGTTGAATCTAAATCTCATTATGGGTCTTATGTATCTGGGCGTTAAGATCTCTTATTATTACATTAATCCTTTTACCCTTGTATCCTTGTAGCTTTGAAATCTATTTTGTCAAATGTGAAAATTGCAACTCCTGCTTTTTATTTATTTATTTTTGCTCTCCATTTGGTTGGTACGTTTTTTTTTTCCAACCCTTTATTTTGAGTCTATGTATATCTTTGGATATACCGTTAGATTTTGTCTGTATCTTTTGATTGGGAGATTTGGTCGATTTAAATTTAGGGTTGCTGCCATTTGATATTAACTGGCTATTTTGTCCTTTCGTTGATAAAAATTCTTCTTTATGTTAATGCTCTTTACTTTTTGGTGTATTTTTAGAAAGGGTCATACTGGTTGTTCCTTTCTGTGTATAATGCTTCTTTTAGAAGTTCTTGTAAAGCAGGCCTGGTGGTAATAAAATCTCTGAGTGCTTGCTTGTTCCTAAAAGATTTTATTTTTCCTTCAAATGTAAAGCTTAAATTGGCAGGATATGAAATTCTGGGCTGAAAGTTCTGTTGATTAAGTATATTGAATATTGGCCCCCACTCTCTTCTAGCTTGTAGGGTTTCCGTTGAGAGATCTGCTGTAAGCCTAATAGGCTTACCTTTATGGGTAACTTGATCTTTCTCTCTGGCTGCCCTTAATATTTTCTCCTTCATTTCGATCTTGGTGAATCTAACAATTATGTGCCTTGGGGTTGGTCTTCTTGAGGAATATCTTTGTGGTGTTCTCTGTATTGCCTGGGGTTGAATAGTGTCCTGCTTTGCTAAATTAGGAAAATTTTCCTGGATAATGTCCTGGAGAGTATTTTCCAGCTTGAATTGATTCTCTCCATCACATTCAGGTACACCAATCAAGCGTATATTAGGTCTTTTCACATAGTCCCATATTGCTTGGAGACTTTGCTCATTCCTTTTTATCCTTTTTTCTCTATTCTTGTCTTGTCGTTTTGTTTCATTAACTTGATCTTCGACCTCTGATACCCTTTCTTCTGCTTGATCCATTCGGCTGTTTAAGCTTGTACATATTTCACTAAGTTCTCGTGTTGTATTTTTCAACTCCATAAGTTCATTTGTATTCCTCTCTATATTGTCTATTCTTTTCAACATTTCATCTAACCTTTTTTCCAAGTTCTTAGTTTCTTTACATTGGGTTAAAACAAGTTCCTTTAACTCCCAGAAGTTTCTTATCATCCACCTTTTAAAGCCTACTTCAGATAATGGAACACAGTCCTTTTCCATCAGGGCTTGTTCCGTTACTGATGAGTCCTTTTCCATCAGGGCTTGTTCGGTTGCTGATGAGTCCTTTTCCATCAGGGCTTGTTCCGTTGCTGATGGGTTCTGATTTTGAGTATACTTGGCCTTCTTAGGCTGTTTTTTTCCCTTCATTGTAGATGAACCGCCTTTCTAATTAGGTTTCTGAGTCGAAGTCCAACTTATTGTTTCCCAGTGCTGGGATCCGAGCAACCCACTGTGGCAGCCTAAATAGCAGCGATAAGACTGATGGTGCTCTTCTGCCCGGGAATCTCTGGTCTGGCTTCCCTCTTGAGTCCACAACAAGTGGCTCTGACTTCCTGGAGCTCCAAACTGCGGTCAGTAGGGGAAGCAGTCCCGTTGGCTCTGCATAAAGAGCTGCTGCGCCGAGACGCCAGCAAAACCACTGTGGCGGCCACAAGAGTCGCGCTGGCGACCCGTGGGGCTCCTCCGCTGGGAATCGGCTAATCGGTGAGTGACGAAAATTCGTCTAAAAGTGTGGCGTCGTCTCGTTCTCTGGGCTTTCACTGGGAACTACAATCCTGAGCTGTTAGTAGTCGGCCATCTTGGATCGATCTCCGATTAAATTTATTTATTTCCTCCCCTCCTTCCCTCCCTCCCTCTTTCTCTCTTTCTCTCTTTCTTGACAGTTTCTTTCTGTTGCCCAGGCTGGAGTGCAATGGCCTGATCTTGGCTTACTGCAACTTTCATCTCCCAGGTTCAAGCGATTCTCCTGCCTCAGTCTCCCAAGTAGCTGAGATTACAGGCATGAACCACCATGCCCAGCTAATTTTTATATTTTAGTAGAGATGGGGTTTCACCATGTTGGTCAGGCTGGTCTTGAACTCCTGATGACTGCAGATGATCCACCAGCCTCAGTCTCCCAAAGTGCTGGGATTATAGGTGTGATCCATCCCGCCTGGCAAATTTCTTTTTTTTTTTTAGAGACGAGTCTCTCTTTGTCACCCAGGCTGGAGTGCAATGGTGTGATCATAACTCACTGCAGCCTTGACCTCCTGGGCTCAAGTGATCCTCCCACCTCAGCCTCCCAAGTAGCTGGGATTACAGGTGCTTGCTACCTTGCCCAGACAACGATGATTACATTTCAGAACGCTGTCCCGGGTCTCCCAGCCCCTAGATGGGTTAGTCACTCAGTTTCTTCTGGAATGAGGAATGGCCTAGTTGACAGAGCACCTTTTGGGTGATTTAACTGAATTCGGTTTATGGCTCCTTCATCTCTCCTCCCATCCTGCCGTGTGTTTTTCTGTTTTTGTTTCTGAGACAGTGTGTCATCTGTCGCCCAGGGTGGAATATAGTGGTGCAATCTCGGGTCACTGCAGCCTGGACCTCCCAGGCTCAAGTGATCCTTCCGCCTCAGCCTCCGGCGTAGCTGGGACTACAGGTGCTCATCACTACGACCGGCTAATTTTTATATTTTTTGTAGAGACGGGGTTTTGCCATGTTGCCAGGGCTGGTCTCGAACTCTTTGGCTCAAGCGATCCTCCTGCCTCAGCCTCCCAAAGTTCTGGGATTACAGGAGTGAGCCACAATGCCTGGCCCGAGACATGTTTTTGCCACACAAACTTTCAGCCTGGAAATGACCACGCTTGGCAAGGTTTTTTCTCCACAAAGAGTGGCAGAACCCTACCCACCCACGTAACCCTAACACCTTGGGACCTTCACCCTTCTCTTCACAGTTACTAGAACCCTCCGCCAGTTTGCCTAGCGCATCAGGCAAGCACACCCAGATCGCTGCTAGCTCTGGTACCGCTCAATTCTAGGCCCCGCCCCTCCCCGCTCCGGTCCCCCGCCCCCGCCCCGCCCCCGGTCCCCTGCCCCGCCTCCGCCCCCCCCAGCCCCCGCCCCGCCCCCCCCCTGCGCCCGGTCCCCTGCACCGCCCCTGGTCCCCTGCTCCGCCTCCGGCCCCCCGCCCCCACCTTGCCCCCGGTCCCCTGCCCTGCCCCCGATTCCCCCCCCCCGCCCCCGCCCAGGCTCTTAGCTGGAAACGACGCCTGCGCAGTGCGGCCGCGCGGCTGTCGTTGTCCCCCGCGCCGCCGAGCGGACCAGGAACGGGATGGCGGAGGAGGTGAGCTGGGAGGAAGCATCCGGCGTGGGGCGGGCCCCGACTCCGACTCCTGGGGCACTCAGAGCTCCCCCAGCGGGTAGCCAAGGCACCGCCGCTCCACCCAGGCCAGTAGCGGCCGCCGGGCGCACCCCGGTCCAGCCTAACACGCACGCCTGAGTGAGCCCCGGGCTCCCCTCGGGCCCATCGCAGCGTGGGGGTCAGTGGTTCTCTCGGGTCTCTGGACAGGTGAGCGCCCTGATGAAGGCCACGGTCCTGATGCGGCAGCCCGGGCGAGTGCAGGAGATCGTGGGCGCCCTATGCAAGGGCGGCGGAGACCGGTTACAGGTACCTCTGGTAGAGGTGGGGGCAGCTGGCGGCTTCCTATCCATTGGGCCTTCCCGCTTTTCTCGGCTGTGGACCCAGCTAGCTCTCTGCCCCAAGAAATGGCCGGGAGCTTGAACGAGAGCGGGTTGGTTCGCCTGTCCTAAAACCTAGACTTCAAATTTCTCAATCTGGTCATGCTGCTTCCTCTAATTGGACAGAAGGCTCCCCAAACCGGTACCTGGGGCCTTATCCTCCGTAGGCCAGCGGCTCCCCAATAAGTTGAAGATGTCCAGATGGGTCGTAATGGTGCAGATCTCTTAGGGAGGACCTGATATTGAAGGAGTTAGAGGGATCCTGAGTCTTCACCCTCACCCCCACACTAGGAGACTGCGTTTTCCTCGGAGTTAACAGGGGTGCTAATTATGATCACCTTCTCCCTATTCCTCTCTGTCTCTCGGTAACTCCCCTATGACTTTGCCTATATTCTGGCCACCGAACTGTTTTGATTTCCATAGTCATCCCCCAGGCTGAGGCAGGGCCACACTAGAAGGTGCCTATTAGGCATCATCTTTCTTTTGCCTTATAGGTGATTTCTGATTTTGACATGACCTTGAGCAGGTTTGCATATAATGGAAAGCGATGCCCTTCCTCTTACAGTAAGTCACATACTAGCTTCCCTTGTTGGGCTTGACAAGATGATGGGTTCTAAGGGACAAGTAAAAGGAGTTTTCTCTTTTTCCAGATATACTGGATAATAGCAAGATCATCAGTGAGGAGTGTCGGAAAGAGGTGGGTTGCTCCCGTCCTTTGCTCACAAATGGCTGTCATATGCTTCTTCAGATGGTTCCTGGTTGGAACCAAAGATGCCAGTAGAGAGACCTTACAAAATTAAGTTTTTTGGTTTTTGAGATGGAGTCTTGCTTTGTGGAGTCTTGATCTTGGCTCACTGCAACCTCTGCCTCCTGGGTTCAAGCGATTTTCCTGCCTCAGCCTCCTGAGTAGCTGGGATTACAGGCACGCGCCACCACACTCAGCTAATTTTTGTATTTTCAGTAGAGATGGCTTTTCACCATGTTGGCCAGGATGGTCTCGATCTCTTGACCTTGTGATCTGCCCGCTTTGGCCTCCCAAAGTGCTGGGATTACAGGCATGAGCCACCGTGTCCAGCAGAAAATTAAGTTTTTAAAAAGTGTTGTTTTGCTAAGGAGGATCTAGTTTAAATACATTAAGAAAGCTTTTCCTTACTGGCCAGGACATATAATGATTAATGGTTGGAACTGGACATTATGCTAACTGTTGGCTATAGAGTTTAGAAGAGATTTGAACATTATGGGGTTCAGCAACTTACCCAGGGTCATACAGCCAAATGGGAGAGCTTGTTTCTTTGTTTTGAGACAGGGTCTCACTCTGTCACCAAGTTGGAGTGCAGTGGCTTGATCATTGCTCACTGCTGCCTTGACCTCCTAGGCTCAAGCAATCCTCCTGCTTCAGCCTACCTAGTAGCTGGAACTACAAGTGTGTGCCATTACACCTAGATAATTTTTTTTTTTTGAGACAGTTTTGCTTGTTACCCAGGCTGGAGTGCAATGGCGCGATCTCGGCTCACGGCAACCTCTGCCTCCTGGGCTCAGGAAATTCTCCTGCCTCAGCCTCCTGAGTAGCTGGGATTATAGGCACGCGCCACCATGCCCAGCTAATTTTTTGTATTTTTAGTAGAGACAGGGTTTCACCATGTTGACCAGGATGGTCTCGATCTCTTGACCTCGTGATCCACCCGCCTCAGCCTCCCAAAGTGCTGGGATCACAGGCTTGAGCCACCATACCCGGCCTACACCTAGATAATTTTTAAAAATTTTTGTAGAGGCCGGGCACGGTGGCGCGTGCCTGTAGTCCCAGCTACTCAGGAGGCTGAGGTGGGAGGATCGCTTGAGCCCAGGATTTCTAGGCTGTAGTGCGCTATGCCAATTGGGTCCCCACACTAAGTTCGGCATCAATATGGTGACCTTCCGGGAACAGGGGACCACCAGGTTGCCTAAGGAAGGGTGAACTGGCCCAGGTCAGAAACGGAGCAGGTCAAAACTCCCATGCTGATCAGTAGTGGGATCGTGCCTATAGCACGTGTGAATAGCCACTGTACTCCAGCCTGGGCAACATAGCAAGACCCTGTCTCTTTAAAAAAAAAAAAGAAAAAAACTTTTGTAGAGATGGGGTCTTACTATGTTGCCTAGGTTGGTCTTGAACTCTTGAGCTCAAGCAATCCTTACTTGCAGGGTGAGTACAAAGGAATGACCAGGTCTGTGGGTCCAGGTGCTCCCTGGACTTCACCAAATAGGTAAAAATTTGAGTGTATTGAGCAATTATGTTGCAAGATAATAAGAGAAGAGAAACTTAGGTCTTATAAGTGACATGTCCCCAAAGGGAAACTTCAAGAAAATTTTATATAATACTCTCTTACATGAAGTTGCATCTTTTTTTTTAGACATAGTTTTACTCTGTTGCCCAGGCTGGAGTGCATTGGTGTGATCTCTGCTCTCAGCTCACTGTGACCTCCGCCTCCTGGGTTCAAGTGATTCTCATTCTTCAGCCTCCTGAGTACCTGGGATTAAAGGCACGTGTCATTACACCTGCTAATTTTTTTATTTTTTAGTGGAGACAGGGTTTTGCCATGTTGGCTAGGCTGGACTTGAACTCCTGAACACAAGTGATCCACCTGCCTCAGCCTCCCAGAGCTCTGGGATTGCAGGGGTGAGCCACCACACCCAGCCACAAAGTTGCCTCTTATAGGTGACCTTTTTCTCACAGTAAGCTGACTTTGCTGGGGAGAACTTGATGTAGACTAATGGCCTTTCTCCCATTTGGATATCCCAGCTCACAGCGCTCCTTCACCACTATTACCCAATTGAGATCGACCCACACCGGACCGTCAAGGAGAAGCTACCTCATATGGTGGAATGGTGAGTGATGGTGGTGGAGAAAAGCTTCTGGGCCCTAGAGATGAAGTGGGCTGAGAGGGGCATATTTTTCCAAACCCTTGATGAGATGACAGGCTCCCTTACTTTACTGAGGGCTTAACTTAATGCTATTAGTCCAGCCGTTGGAACACACCTTTCAGATGAACCCAGAGCTCCTGTGGCTGCTGCTGGAGTGGAGACACTCAGAGAATCCTTGGTGTAAGTTAAAGACCCTTGGTTTCAGGGGATAAGTGTTTTGCGGAAGTGACTCTGGTCTTAGTCTGTTTTTGTGCTGTGGTCACAGAATAACAGACTAGGTAATTTACATATTTTTTCTATTTTTTGAGACAAGGTCTTTCTCTGTTGCCCAGGCTGAGTTCAGTGGCAATGATTGTGGCTCCCTGCAGCCTTGACCTCCTGGGCTGAAGCGATCCTCCCACCTCAGCTTCCCAAGTGGCTGGTACTACAGGCACGCACCACCATGCTGGGCTCATTTTTTCTGTTTTTTGTAGAGATGGGGTCTCACCATGTTGCCCAGGCTGTTTTCAACTCCTAAGCTCAAGTGATCCTCCCACTTTGGCCTCCCAGTCTTGAGGTTACAGGTATGAGCCACTGCACCCAGCCTAGACTGGGTAATTTATAATGAATGGCAATTTATTGGCTCACAGTTCCGGAAGCAGGGTAGTCCAAATTTGAAGGACTGGCTGGCATTTGACGAGGCCCTTCTTGCTGTATTATCTTACTGTAGAAAGGCAAAGAGAGTGGGGGAGAGAGAAAGTGTAGGGCTGAGGGCCCCACAGGGTCGTGGGGTGAGCCTTATGCTGTGCTGAGGTGCAGGATCCAAGAAATAAAGAGACAGGACACAGAAGTACAAGGAAAACGCAGCTGGGCTCAGGGGGCCACGCCACCTATAAGCAGAGTCAGGCGAGGCCCCGAATGTCCAGAAGCATGAGTATTTATTGTGTGTAGGTTAGGGGGCAGGGCAGTGAGTGAAATCATCTTTAAGGATAGTGATAGGGTCGTGAGCAATAAAACATGGGGTCCACCCCCATTAGGTCACCTAGGCTAGGAGGTGGACAGTGAACAGCAAGGGGCCCATTCTCATGAAGGCAAGGGCCGTGTGCAGTAAGGGGTCCACCCCCATTAGGTCACCAAGGCTTGAAGGTGGGCCGTGCGCAGTGAAGAGGGTGCAGTGTGCAATACTTCTATCTATGGGCAAACTTCTTCTAAGAAGATTTATGGGAAATGCTTTAAGTCACATAGCAGTGACAGAGCTGTCAAGGTTACCGCCACCTTCTGGCAGCTTCCAACGGGTACTACAGGAAGATGCTTTTCGAGCAGCACAGTAGCAAGAGCTCATAAAGTTCAGTCACCAAGGTGGATTGCCAGTCTGAGGGCAGCCTTCCACAAGAACTGGAGCAAGGTCCTACAACTCCTTTATCAGGAGGAGTGGCTCTTGCCCCAAGCCTGCCATACAGCGGGCATCTTTACGATACTGAACGCTGCCGCCTGGGCCATGGATTGTTGTCCTGGCATAACTGTTTGTCCCTTAAATCATGCTCTGCACGGTGTCTGCTCTTAGGCATTCCTCCGATTATAAGCTGCTTATTCCTTAATTCATGCTCTGTACTGTGTCCACTCTAGGCATTCCTCCGATATGAACTAAGATATAATTATAGGTATATATGTAGGGAAATATTCTTTTTTTTTTTTTAGGAATAACAAATGTTTATTCAGAAATGGATAAGTAATACATAATCATCCTTCATCCCTTAATGCCTCTTCCTCTCTTTTTGCACAAGAAACACAGATGGGTAATGTAGGGGCATGGGAAGTGGAGGTGGAGGAGGACACAGGACTGGCCCACCACCTTCTCTTCCCTGTCTCCCTAGGTGACAGCTTATACAGTGGAGGAGGCAAACAGGTCCTCTCAATGTACCAGATGATCACCTACAGCACAGCTCCAGATGGCTGCAGCTGGGCTCAGTGAAACTCTGTGACAACCAGAATATATCAGCTTTGGGATTAGAGGGGAGGGTAAAGCCTCGTGGCAGGATATTTACCGTCCCAACCCTAAGCAAAGTCCAAGCAGTGAGCCCCATTCCTGGTACCTGAAAAACCAGGTCCTACTGCCTTCTGGGTGCTCTCTTGGGCCAGAAAAGGTAAAGTGTAGGAGGAATGTCTTCCAGCTGCTAACTAGAAGTCAGTCTGCACCCACTTGAAGGGATTAAGAGAATAAAAAGCAGCATCTTTAAAGAACTGGAAGTGGAGCACCACCAGGCCCCTTCCTTGGCCTTTCCTGGCCTGGGCAAGCTCAGAGCCTGAGGATTGAAGCTAGGTTCAAACCCTTGGTCCTTCCTGCCTGACAGACTGACCTCTGGAAACATGACTTTCTGGGTTCTTCTTCACTGGGCTAGCCTCAAGCAAGTCTTGGGCACTCTGTCTCCAGCATGTACCTTTCCCAGCACTTGCGACTGATTCTGCAGAGCACCGAGAATCGTGCTCCCCAACTGGCTCCAGCTCTGCCAATCTGGATTCCCTTCAGTTCCAACAAAGGACCCTTCAGGTCCAGCAGAGGACCACTCAGTGACACCAGAGGCAACACTGGCCTGGTAATTCAGGGACGGCCCTTGGGCTCTATAGCTTTGTGCTATAGAAAGCACTGCCGGTGCCTATGCTGGGGAAACAGCTTGCCTCGTAGAGTTGCCCTGTTCCCTTGACTCCTCCTCCTCTGCCAAGACAGAAAATTATCCCTCTGGTCATGGACGGATGGATCACTCACAAAAGTGGGAACTCTGGGTGGCAGCTAGATATATGCCTCTGGGCATCCCTGACCACTGTCCTGTAGACAACTGAGGCTAGAATTGGAGAGCCAGGAGCAAACCGACCTCTTGCATTCAAATAAGCCCCAGCCTCCCCCTTCCCGTGTTGCAGAATGGGAGGTAGAGCCTTTGAAAGGCCCAACCAGAGGAGAGCTAGCAGCTGTACCAAAACCAGGGTGTGATGAGTGCCAGGCTAGGTGAGGACCGGGAGGGGCGTGATGAGTGCCGGGCTAGGTGAGAACCAGGAGGGGTGTGATGAGTGCTGGGCTAGGTGAGGACCGGGAGGGGCGTGATGAGTGCCGGGCTAGGTGAGAACCAGGAGGGCTCCAACACAACCCCCCTGCCAGCAGTGACACCCAGAAGGGAAAAAGACCTGGGGTGGGGCATTCAGCACAACTCAAGGGCAAGGTGAACTCTGGAAAACAACCTCTGGGCAGAGGCAGTGTGGGCCTCCAAGCCAAGCACACTCCTCCTGGACAGACTCTTCCCAGAGGTGCAGCTTCATCCTGCCCTTGCCACTAGTGAGGCCTGGAGCTAATGCGGAGAGGACCAGAGGTCTGAGAACTGCTCCCCATCCAGGCATCTCCACTGACCAGACAGAGGAGCGGCACAGCTCTCAGGCCACCCCGGTTCCTGTCAGGATGGCAGGGCTTTCCATCCCGTGTTGTTTGAAAAGCTTAATGTACACAAAGGAAAGGCAGCCCGTGGCCCCTGGGAAAACCAGGGTCCTTCAGACAGCCCCTGCCCTGCATCCTATGGGGCCACAAGAAAGCCACCCAGAGAATTTAGTGTACCATTTCCAAATAAAAAATCCACCTGGGGCTGAGGCTGGGGGAGACATGCTCTGAAAAACACTAGCCTACCTTGGCGGTGAGATGGAGAAGAAACATATTACAGGAAACGTTAACAGAGAAGAGCACAGGGCAGAACACAGCACAGAAAGGCGGGTTCCATCCAGTGAGGAAGCGCTTTACCCCAGCGACCCTGCCCACGCTCAGGGGTCTCCAGTCCGATGGCCCATTGGTCACAAGCTTTGCCTTGGGGAAACAGAGCCACCCTCCTCTGCCCCCACTTCTGGCTGCCTCACTCCCCTGCTCAAAACTTGATTTTGAATTCTGTGGGCTTCGTGGTTACAGAGGCCCCTGAGGACTTGAAGAGCGCCTTCAGGATGGTGTCAGGGTCCACTTTGGCAGGGGGTTGGAGGAGGAGGCAGAGTTCACCCTGCAAGGCAGCTCGCTTTCCTTTTTCACTGAGGGGCTGGCTGTCACTCAGCCGCAGCAGGATAGGCTGGTCTGAGGTGATAATGTTCCCATTCATGTGAAGGTTGCACTTCATTGGCTGCCCATCCAGACACCTGTATGCAGTGATGGTGATGGCATCGTCCTTTTTCTTTTCATTTTTTTTGAGACGGAGTTTCGCTCTTGTTACCCAGGCTGGAGTGCAATGGCGCGATCTCGGCTCACCGCAACCTCCGCCTCCTGGGTTCAGGCAATTCTCCTGCCTCAGCCTCCTGAGTAGCTGAGATTATAGGCACGCACCACCATGCCCAGCTAATTTTTTGTATTTTTAGTAGAGACGGGGTTTCACCATGTTGACCAGGATGGTCTCGATCTCTTGACCTTGTGATCCACCCGCCTTGGTCTCCCAAAGTGCTGGGATTACAGGCTTGAGCCACCGCGCCCGGCCCCATCCTTTTTCACAAACACCACCTCTGCTACCCCAGGATGGACCAGCTGAGCTTGCTTGAGGGCTCCACACACACAGAAAAGCTCAACAATGTCCTCCTCAGTGACTCGAGGGAACAGATTATTCACAGTCATCTTGGTGCCTTCCAATGGGCTGAGGACAGGCTCAGCAGGTGGCAGCTCTTTGGGGGGTTCTTCCTTGTTCACCAGTGTCCGGGACATGTTGGTCAAGGCTTTGGTTCAAATAGAGGAGGGGAGAGCAGGAGCTGTGTATGCATCATTCTGAACCACTTTGGTAAGAGGGAGGAAAGCTTGGAACTGCTTAGCCCAGCCACTCATGGAGAAAGCCACCTGAGACTGCAAACTTCATCTGTTTAGTAGGAGGAAGCTATACCATCATCTTCTTCATCCAGGTCATATAAATTCTTTTTGGCCTGGCGGTTATTGACAACATTGATTCTCATTCCAGTAGGATGGGGATGAAGTGGTGCCATGGCTTTCTGCTGTGGAACCTGAATGGTTTTGGTGAGCTTCAGGGCAGGAGTCACTGTCCCGATGGGTGGGTTCATGAAGACAGCAGGTGAACTCCTCTTCAAGCTGATCTCCCTGGCATCAGCGCCCTGGCGGGGCTTCTGGGGCACCATGGTTGCTTGCGAGAGTTCAACATCTTTCTGGCATCCTGTACTTTCCCTTTGATCCGAAACCGGGCATCTTTCTGCAAAAACTTCTCCCGAGCATCCTTGACTCCCAGTTTGAGCCGGGCATCTGAGAGGCCAATCTTCTGCCGGGCATCAGATCTTTGCTGGAAGGTGGCTGTGCGTGCTGACTGGCTGAGAAGGCCTTGCTGAATCCCAACTCGAGATCGGATACCTCCAACTCCCGGTCTGGCATTAAGCCGTCCTTTCGCCGCCGTCCCGCACTTCCTGATGAGGGAGATGTCCCTCTCTTCCAGGGAGATGTCCGCCATCTTGCACCGCGGAGCGAGCCTTAGGCAGCGGAGACGCCCCCAGCCCGCAAGCCCGCCCCCGGGAAATGTTCTTTAGGCACTCATACTATCAACTATTATATGATTATATAGAGAGGATTATATAAAGGGATTCGTCAAGCCCTATTTCTATAAACTAATATATGATTATGTAAAGGATTATATAAAGGGAAATAGCTGAGTAGTAACACAATAAAGTGAGATATTCAAGCCCTAACTGTGCCAGGGTTCTGCTTCGCTCTCATTCCTCAGTGCCTATATGGGGGGTTTCCCACAAGAAAGAAAGAGGAATTATTATAATTTTTTCGAGACGTCTCGCTCTGTCATCCAGACAGGAGTGCAGTGGCGCAATCTCAGTTCACTCAAACCTCCACCTCCCAGGTTCAAGTGATTCTCCTGCTTCAGCTTCCCAAGTAGCTGGGAGGCACGTGTCATCATGCCCGGCTAATTTCTTATATTTTTAGTAGAGGTGGGGCTTCACCATGTTAGCCAGGATGGTCTCAATCTCCTGACCTCGTGATCTGCCCGCCTCGGCCTCCCAAAGTGCTGGGATTACAGGTGTGAGCCACCCGCCAGGTGAGAGGAATTCTTTTTATAAGGATCTGTGGGCCGGGCGCAGTGGCTCACGCCTATAATGCCAACACTTTGGGAGGCTGAGACGGGTGGATCACGAGGTCAAGAGATCGAGACCATCCTGCTAAACATGGTGAAACCCTGTCTCTACTGAAAATACAAAAATTAACTGGGCATAGTGGTTCATGCCTGTAGTCCCAGCTACTCGGGAGGCTGAGGCAGGAGAATTGCTTGAACCCAGGAGGCGGAGGTTGCAGTGAGCTGAGATTGCACCATTGCACTCCAGCCTGGGTAACAACAGTGAAACTCTCAAAAAAGAAAAAAAAGGATCTGTGATAATGACATTAATCTGTTCATAAGGATGGTGCCCCCATGACACCTCCCATTAAGCCCCATCTTTCAACACCTCCACATTGGGGATCAAGTTTCTAACACGTGAACTTTGGGGGACACATTCAAAGCACAGCAACCCTCATCACTGAACAGAGCCCCAGTCCTCCAGATAGAGGGGTCACGGAGGAAGGGATTCAGAAGTTTCGACTTAAGCGGTCAGCTTGCTTCACACTTGTCTCTGTTGGGTTGCTTTCTCATTCTCTTCATCTCTTCATCTTCTTCCTTTTTTTATCAAGATGGAGTCTCACTCTGTAACCCAGGCTGGAGTGCAGTGGCGCAATCTTGGTTCACTACAACCTCCACTGCCTGGGTTCAAGTGATTCTCCAGGCTCAGCCTCCCGAGTAGCTGGGACTACAGGCCTGTGCCACCATGCCCTGCTACTCTTCGTTTTGTTTTTGTTTTTGAGATGGAGTTTCGCTGTTGTTACCCAGACTGGAGTGCAATGGCACGATCTCAGCTCACCACAACCTCCGCCTCCTGGGTTCAAGCAATTCTCCTGCCTCAGCCTCCTGAGTAGCTGGGACTACAGGTGCACACCACCATGCCCAGGTAATTTTTGTATTTTTAGTAGAGACGGGGTTTCATCTTGTTGACCAGGATGGTCTCGATCTCCTGACCTCGTGATCCACCTGCCTCAGCCTCCCAAAGTGCTGGGATTATAGGCGTGAGCCACCGTGCCCGGCCTACTTTTTGTATTTTTATCAGTGACGGGGTTTCCTTATGTTGGCCAGGATGGTCTCGAACTCTTGACCTCAGGTGATCTGCCTGCCTTGATCCCACTAAGTGCTGGGATTACAGGCATGAGCCACCATGCCTGGCCACTCTCTTCCTTTTAAGGACAGCTAACATCTTTCAAGAAGTGGCCCTGTGCAAAAAGATGAGGCCTCTGTTGGTAATGCTATCAGAGAGGACTTGGCTCTGTAAAGGGAAAGGATGATTGATTTACCTGAGTGACTTGAATGTGGGGTTTTGTGGGGTGTCTGTTTTTAGGTGGACCAAAGCGCACAATCTCCTATGTCAGCAGAAGATTCAGAAGTTTCAGATAGCCCAGGTGGTTCGAGAGTCCAACGCAATGCTCAGGTAAGTGTCTTGCTCTGGAGAACATTTCTGCCAGATTATTTGAAACTGTATTTTTCAAAAAAAAAAAAAATAACGAGAGTAGAGAGGAGTTAGTTGTTTAAAGGGCTGGAAGAGACATGTCACTATGAACAACTGATGTGTTACAGCTAAAGGATTTCTCTGCCTTGCTAGGAAAGAGTCAGCAGCTAGTGGATGCGGTGCAAGATGGCCAGGGAGCCATCTCCGAGAACAAACCACGTCTAGCTCATTTTTCACAATGGTCAAAGATTTTTGGGGTCCCCCTGGTGACTGGTGTTCTTCATGGCGACTGGGAGTTGGCTAGGCTGGGACCCTTGATCATTACTGGACGGCTGTCTCTGCTGGAGATTTCTTTCCTGGAGGAGGGACCAGGGCTCATAAAGGAAGGAGTGACATGGGTGCCTGCCCTCAAGGGTTGTGCATCCTAATTGGGGAGATTGGCTAGTTCCTGAAAAGCCAAGACAGTGGAGATGTGCTGACCCAGTAAGTGCCAGGATGGAAGTGGGTGCACCCTAGTGAAGGTGCCCAGGCTAGCTGCCTGGTTGTATGGACAGCAACAGAAAACATGCCTACCTTTTGCTACAACAGCGTCTCTCCCCAGTATATACCCCAGAAAAAGGAGGGCACGTAGCCACTACAAGACATGCACAGCATGTATTCATGGCAGCCGTATCCATAACAGCTGAAACCTGGAAATCAGGCCGGGCGCGGTGGCTCACACCTGTAATCCCAGCACTTTGGGAGGCCGAGGAGGGTGGATTATGAGGTCAAGAGATCGAGACCATCCTGGTCAACATGGTGAAACCCCGTCTCTACTAAAAATACAAAAATTAGCTGGGCACGGTGGCGCGTGCCTGTAATCCCAGCTACTCAGGAGGCTGAGGCAGGAGAATTGCCTGAACCCAGGAGGTGGAGGTTGCAGTGAGCCGAGATGGCGCCATTGCACTCCAGCCTGGGTAACAAGAGTGAAACTCTGTCTCGAAAACAAACAAACAAACAAACAAACCTGGAAATCTCTCAATTGTCTATCAAGAGGAAGCTGGGTAGAAAAATTATGGCATATTTATATGATGGAATAATGCTGTGTAGCAGTGATAAAGAATAAACTCATTCCATGCAAAATATATAAACTACCCAGCATTGTATTGAACAAAATAAGTCAGGCACAAAAGAGTACATTGTGTATGAGTCCATTTATGTGAAGTTCAAGGACAGGCAAAGTTAATTGATGGGAGGGATGATACTGGCTGGGAGAGACGACGAGGGAGGCTTACGCTAGTTAGTTACATGGGTGTATATGTATATCAGAAGCGACTGAGCTGAACACTTAGGATTAGCACATTTTAACCACTTATTGAATATATTGTATGGTTTATTTTATTTTTTGAGATGGAGTCTCGCTCTTTTGCCCAGGTTGGAGGGGAGTGGCGCAATCTGAGCTCACTGCAACCTCTGCCTCCTGGGTTCAAGTGATTATCTCAAGAAGTTGGGATTGCAGGTGCTCGCCACTACTCCCAGCAAATTTTTGTATTTTTTCTTTAGGAGAGATGGGGTTACACCATGTTGGCCAGGCTGGTCTGCCTTGGCCTCCCAAGGTGCTGGGATTACAGGTGTGAGTCCGCTCAATTTTAAATGTCCCCCCCCCCTTTTTTTTTTAAAGATGGGGTTTCTCCATGATGGCCAGGCTGGTCTTGAACTCCTGACCTCAGGCAATCCACCCACCTCGGCCTCCCAAAGTGCTAGGATTACAGGTTTGAACCACAGCGCCTGGCTAAATTTTTTTTTTCAAGGTTTTTTTTTTTTAGTGGAGTGGTGCAATCCTGGCTCACTGCAGCCTTGACCTCCAGGGCTCAAGCCATCCTCCTGACTCAACCTCCCAACAGGTGCAGGCCCCCATGTCTGGCTAATTAAATTTTTTGTAGAGATGTGTTTTCCCTGTGTTGCCCAGGTTGGTCTTGAACTCCTGGACCCCAGAGATCCTGCCTTCGCCTCCCAAAGTGCTGGGATTACAAGCATGAGCCATAATGTCTACCCTAAAAGTTTAAAAAAATATATGTAACCTGTCAGGTGTGGTGGCTCAAGCTTGTAATCCCAGCACTTTGGGAGGTTAAGGTAGGTGGGTGGCTTGAGCCCAGGAGTTTGAGACCAGTCTAGGCAACATAGGAAAACCCCATCTCTACAAATCATAAAAATATTAGCCAGATGTGGTGGTGTGCACCTGTGGTCCCAGCTACTTGGGAGGTTGAGGCGGGAGGATCACTTGAGCCCGGGAGATCAAGGTTGCAGCAAACTGTGATTGTGCCACTGCACTCTGGCCTGGGCAACAGAGCGAGACCCTGTCTCACAAAAAACCCAAAACACAAATAACTGAAGTAGGAAACAAAGAACAGCAGTAGAGGCAGTGCCATTTCAGAATTCCTGATCTCTTTTCAGGGAAGGATACAAGACCTTCTTCAACACACTCTACCGTAACAATATTCCCCTTTTCATCTTTTCTGCGGGCATTGGTGATATCCTGGAGGAAATTATCCGACAGATGCAAGTGTTCCACCCCAACATCCACATCGTGTCTAACTACATGGATTTTAATGAAGATGTGAGCCAGATCCTGTTTGGGCTGAGAAAGGATGAGGGGTGGGGACCACCAGCCAGGGTGGTTTACTCTGCACGAACCCTAACCTGGGGAGGAAGGGGAGGGAAAACACGCTGGCTTCTTCACCCTTAGGCAGTTGTTTACAGGTTACTTTTTGGCCAGGCATGGTGGCTCACACCTGTAATCCCAGCACTTCAAGTTGCCAAGGCAGGTGGATCACCTGAGGTCAGGAGTTCGAGACCAGCCTGGCCAACATAGTGAAACTCCATCTCTACTAAAAATACAAAAATTAGCTGGGCATGGTGGTGGGTGCCTGTAATCCCAGTTACTCGGGAGGTTGAGGCAGGAGAATCCCAGTTACTCGGGAGGCTGAGGCAGGAGGTTGTAGTGAGCTGAGGTCACACCACCGCATTCCATCCTGGACAATAGAGTGAGACTCCGTCTCACAAACAAACAAACAAACAAACAAACAAACAAACAAACAAACCAATCTTTTGAGACGGAGTTTCACTGTTGTTACCCAGGCTGGAGTGCAATGGCGCGATCTCGGCTCACCGCAACCTCCGCCTCCTGGGTTCAGGCAATTCTCCTGCCTCAGCCTCCTGAGTAGCTGGGATTATAGGCACGCACCACCATGCCCAGCTAATTTTTTGTATTTTGAGTAGAGACGGGGTTTCACCATGTTGACCAGGATGGTCTCGATCTCTTGACCTCGTGATCCACCCACCTCGGCCTCCCAAAGTGCTGGGATTACAGGCTTGAGCCACCGCGCCCGGCCCAAACCTTTCAAAGGACCCTCTCTCTTTGCTTTTTGCCTGACAGTCAACTCTCTGCACTGGAGTACCTAGTTTATGGGCCTGCCCTGCCCCATACCACTGTCATGGGGTTTATGCCATCCTGAGTCCTGAAAGGCTTGGGCTTTGATTTGCTTTTCCCAAGCCAGAGGTGGGTGCTGTAACTCATCCACGTTCTGACTTTTTTCCCCGTAAAACTGATGGTTGGAATTTTCATCACATGGATCTGCAGTGAGGATGTAGCCCACAGCTGAGCAGAACACACATATAACCTGAGCGGCATTGATATCACAGCTTTGTGCATCCAGAACAGATGAACTGTAATATCGGGTGGCTCCTGTGCCCTTAAACTAGGAATTACAGACTTATCCTGTAAAAGGCCCTGGCGTCAATATTTAGGCTTTGTGGGCCATGGTATCTCTGTAGCAACTGCCCAACTTTGCCGTTATTGCACAAAAAGCAGCCATAGCACCATGTAAACAAATGAGTTTGGCTGTATCCCAATAAAACTTTATTTACAAAAGCAGGCCAAGTCGGGCCCCTGGGCCCCAGTTGAGGTTACAATGAAGCATTGGCATTATCTATCACTTTTGGGATTCCCTTTTCTCTGTGACCGAGACAGTGGGAACTGGTGCTGCATGGGTCCCTGCAACCCTTCCATCTGTCTCTTGTCTTCATTATTTAGGGTTTTCTCCAGGGATTTAAGGGCCAGCTCATACACACATACAACAAGAACAGTTCTGTGTGTGAGAACTCTGGCTACTTCCAGCAACTTGAGGGCAAAACCAATGTCATCCTGTTGGGAGACTCCATCGGGGACCTCACCATGGCTGATGGGGTTCCTGGTGTTCAGAACATTCTCAAGATTGGCTTCCTGAATGACAAGGTGGGTAGAAGACCTGGCTGCTCCTCTTCATGGCTTTCTTCTCTTTGAATGCCCAGTAACAAACGCCTTTGAACACATTTCTTTTCTTTTTTTCTTTTTTGTTTTTTTTTGAGATGGAGTCTTGCTCTGTTGCCCAGGCTGGAGTGTAGTGGCGTGATCTTAGCTCACAGTTAACTTCTGTCTCCCAGGTTCAAGCCATTCTCCTGCCCCAGCCTCCTGAGTAGATGAGACCACAGGTGACTGCCACCAGGCCTGACTAATTTTTATATTTTTTACTAGAAATGGGATTTCGCCATGTTGGCCACGTTGGTCTCAAACTCCTGACCTCACCTGAGGCCCACCTCAGCCTCCCAAAGTGCTGGGATTACAGGCGTGAGCCACTGCACCACCTTTGAACACCTTCTATATGCTAGACACTGGGTAAAGAAGGAAGATACAAGCTGTATTCTCTTGGAGCACATAATCTCATAGGAAACAGACCCAGTGATTACAGGTTTGCCTTACCACATGACCTGACAGAGATTGGATCAGGCCGGCATGGCATCCTAGCCTCAATTTATTTATTTATTTTTTGAGATGGAGTCTTGCTCTGTTGCCAGGCGGAGTGCAGTGCCACGATCTTGGCTCACTGCAACCTCCATCTCCCGGGTTCAAGTGATTCTCCTGCCTCAGTCTCCCAAAGTGCTGGGATTACAGGCATGAGCCACCGTGCCTGGCCCCTAGCCTCAATTTACTGAGTGTCTAGTGCACAGTCACTCTTCTCAGCATTTCATGGTAATTAATTCATTTGATTTGTATGATAACCCTTTAAGGTAGTGACTGTTACCCTCATTTTACAGATAAGGAAACTGAGGCCTGGGATTGAGTAAGTTGCCTAAGGAGATAGAGTTCAAGACACAGTGGGGGTGATTACCAGTCCTTCTAAATCATACTGGAAGGCCTGATTGCAATGGGAAATGTTGGTACTGAGGACATGGGTTTATAATTTAGAGAAGAGAAATTATAAGAACAGATCACGGACTGATAAGGGTGAAAGCAACATTGTCATAAAGGGGCCCAAATATGATGGGGTGAAGCTAGGCGGCTGCCAGGGTGCTTCCCCATAGCTGCAGGCGCTGGAGCCTGCCAGGATGCTTAAGCTGGATGAAACTGGGGCCTGCTCAGGTGCCGTTGCTCATGCCTGTAACCCCACCACTTTGGGAGGCCAGAGCAGGGGGATCACTTGAGTTCAAGACCAGCCTGGGCAACATAATGAGACCCTGCCTCAACAACAGCAACAGCAAAAATTATTAGCTGGTTGTGGTTAGCATGCCTCTAGTTCCAGCTACTCAGGAGGCTGAGACGGGAAGATCACTTGAGTCCAGGAGGTCGAAGCTTCAGTGAGCCAAGATAATGCCCCTGCACTCCAGCCTCCTAGGCAGTACAGTAAGACCCTATCTCAAAAAAAGAGAGGAAGAGAGGAAAGAGAGAGAGACAGAGAGAAAGAAAGAAAAAGAGAGAGAAAAAGAAAGAAAAGATAGAAAAAAGGAAAAAGAAAGGAAAAGAAAGAAAGAAAGGAAATAAGGCTGGGCGTGGTGGCTCATGCCTATAATCCCAGCACTTTGGGAGGCCGAGGCGGGTGGATCACGAGGTCAAGAGATCGAGACCGTCCTGGTCAACAAGGTGAAACCCCGTCTCTACTAAAAATACAAAAATTAGCTGGGCGTGGTGTTGCGCGCCTGTAGTCCCAGCTCTCGGGAGCCTGAGGCAGGAGAATTGCTTGAACCCAGAAGGCGGATTGCAGTGAGCTGAGATCGTGCCATTGCACTCCAGTCTGGGTACTAACAGCGAAACTCCGTCTCAAAAAAAAAAAGGAAAGAAAAGAAAGAAAGAAAATTCAGTCCAGATGGATTAGAGGCAACATTTGTTTGGGTTTTTTTTTTGAGATAAGGCCTCACTCTGTCACCCATGCTGGAGTCTTGGCTCAGTGTAGCCTTGACTTCCTGGGCTCAACTGATCCTCCTGCCTCAGCAGGGACTACAGGCACCCACTACCATGCCTGGCCAATTTTTGTAGAGATGGGGTTTTGCTATGTTGCCTGGGCTGGTCTCAAACTCTTGGGCTCAGATGATTTTCTGTCTTGGCCTTCCAAAGTGGCAACATCTGGTCTTTTGTTTTTATTCCTTGTTACTGTCCTTTGATATTGACCCAGGGATTAATTGTGATAGCCCATGCCCATTCCTCATCTGTCTCTGAAGGACAGGTCCCGTAAGCTTGAACTCCTCTGGCTCTCAAAAGGGAGCTGGGAGTTGCTGCTTGAATGCCCTCCTCCCCAGCCCCAGGGGCTTTGAGAGTGAACTTCGGAGGGCAGGGCATTTGGGGACCCTCAGGTGTCTTCCTCTCACCCGGGGCAGGTGGAGGAGCGGCGGGAGCGCTACATGGACTCCTATGACATCGTGCTGGAGAAGGACGAGACGCTGGATGTGGTCAACGGGCTGCTACAGCACATCCTGCGCCAGGGGGACCAGTTGGAGATGCAAGGCCCCTGAGGGCACAGGCTCCAGCCAGGCCTTCGGGCCAGGGTGAGGAGGGGGCACCTCCCCAGAGTCCGCTCCCCTGTGAACACAGAGCAGAGGCCAGGGTGGCCAGCAGCAGCTGGGTCCTTTCATGCCCTTCCGTCCTCCTTTCCCTGAGCGTGTTCATCACCAGAGGTTTGAGGGGCCCCGTCGCATGGCAGGGCACAAGCACTGTTCCTGGTGAACATGGGACCATAGCTGGGACCACTGTTCCTGGTGAACCTGCCAGTGCTCTAGGGATCGTCTAGTCCAGGGATTTTTTTTTTTTTTTTCAAAATTTTTAAATGTGGGAAATTGTTCTTCAAACAAATGTAATGTGTGAAACAGACCAAAATTTGAAAAATGAAAAACCAGCTGTTTTTATTTAGGAGATGTGGGTGGGGGTAGAACCTGGACCTCTTGGCCCTGGGAGCACATGTCGCATGATGCTTCTAGGGCTCCACGGAACACGGTTTGAGAACCGCCACAAATCATCCTGGGAGTCGGTCTGAGCATAGCCTGATGGTGTCTGTGTGGTTCAGGGCAGGGCTGAAAGGGTATGTTCTAGCCTACACGGGTTTGTCTTTATTCTGCTGCAGCCATCAAACTTGAAATTCTGTTGGGATTGGTGGGGTTGAGGCAACCCTGAGCATCCCCTCTTCAGGGCTCCCTTGGAGGATGCGTGTGGGTGTAGATTTTCCCTCGTGCCCTAGGTTTTCCTTTCCCCTCCTCTTAGGGGTCATGGACAGTAAAGTGGATGACCTGAAAAGGGGAATTTAGAGCAGGGCCCTGAGGGAGGCTGTGCTGTGGTGAAATATGAGTGATGTATGCACTGTGGTCTTGCATTATTGGGCCGACTTCACAGTCTCTTTCCCTTCTTCCCTCCCTGTTGACTTGGATGGTCAAGAACTAGCTGATTCTCTCTAGGGCACTTTTTGAAGAAAAAATATAGAAGAGCCAGTTCAGGCGGGACACAGTGACTCACTCCTGTAATCCCAGCCGTTGGGAGGCCAAGGCGGGTGGATCATGAGGTCAGAAGTTCGAGAGCCTGGCCAACATAGTGAAACCCCATCTCTACTAAAAATACAAAAAATCAGCTGGGCGTGGTGGCAGGCGCCTATAATCCCAGCTACTCTGGAGGCTGAGGCAGGAGAATCACCTGAGCCTGGGAGGCAGAGGTTGCAGTGAGCCGAGATCGTCGCACCATTGCATTCCAGCTTGGGCAACAGAGTGAGAATATGTCTCAAAAAAAAAAAAAAAAAAAAAAAAAGGCCAGGCACAGTGGTTCATACCTGTAATTGGGAGGTTGAGGCGGGCAGATCACAAGGTCAGGAGTTCAAGACCAACCTGGCCAACATGGTGAAAAAAAAAAAAAAAAGAGTCAGTTCAGCATTTTCTTAACTTTAGAGGAAATCACCCCTTCCTGCAGTTTGGCTAGCTGTTGGAATGTTGTGTCATTCTGCAGATTTGAAGTGGAAGGTAATGGAGATGTTAACTGAAGTCCTACTGTGTGCCAGGTGCTACTCTGGGCACTTGGGTGCCTGCCAGTTGACCCTCAAAATGACCCTGCCAGATCGCTCAGACAGGATGGGTAACTTGCCCAAACTCCGTAGCTAGGAGCTAGACCCAGGGTTCAAATGTTTCTGACCAAAGTCCATGCCATTTGTTGCATTTCTCTGCTTCAGGCCTATTTCATTAGGTTTTGGGAGGAGGGAGTGGTTACCATCTGAGGCTGGGTCAGTAACTACTTTCAGACTGCAATCAAGGAGCTTTCTTGGCTGGCACAGTGGCTCATGCTGTAATCCCAGCACTTTGGGAGGCTGAGGTGGACAGATCAGTTGAGGTCAGGAATTTGAGACCAGCCTGGCCAACACGGTGAGACTGTACATGCCTGTAGTCCCAGCTACTGGGGCAGCTGAGGCAGGAGAATCACTTGAACCCAGGAGGCAGAGATCGCGGTGAGCTAAGACAGCACCATTGCGCTCCAGCCTGGTAGACAGATTGAGACCCTGTCTCAAAAAAAAAAAAAAACTTCAATCAAGGAGCTTTCTGGATGCTTTGAGGCCAGAGAATGTCAGTCACTGGCCATGTGGAACAGTCAGGTCTCTTAGGGGACTCTGGGCAAGAAGTGCTGACGGAGGCAGTTTGCTGTGAGTCCAGTCCTGTCATTTTCTTTCCCAAGTCCCCACCTGTCCTCAGAAGGCCCGGGTCATCCCAGGCAAGCAAGAGCAGATGGCCTGGCTGGTGGCTGAAGTCTTCCTACAAGACACTGTGGAGATCTGAACTCAGTTACCTTTCCCCTAGCAAGAAGGAGGATGGGCAGGTGGTAACAGGTGGCGGCCAGGAGCAGGGAGAGATGGGAACATAGTATTGGAAATGATCGACAGAAAAGGATAATCTGACCTGTGTGCTTTAATTTAATCCTTGAGCTTTGTCAGTTGAGTTTGAGGTCAGGGACCTTGTCTTTCCCATTCGATGGGGACAATTAGGGGATGAGGATCATCACTCCACACCCTGCAGCAGGCCTCTGTCCTCTACACATTCACCCCCTCCACAGACCAGGGCTCCCTTCCCACAGCAAAGCCCCAGGTTAGGCCCAGGGCAGGCAGGAAACCTCCAGAGGGGGAGCCCCTGATCTGTCTAGAGCTAATGAGGCCGTGGAAACAGCCTGGCTTATCTTCTTCCCCAATGTGGGGAACTCTCCACAACCCCCACTTCCGCTGGCCCCTCAAGCTGTTCCAAAAGACAATTAAGGCTATTGGTTTAATCTTTTATTTGGAACAAAGGAAAAAGGGACTGACATCTGTTTAGCCTTTTGAGTGTGCAGAGCTCTGCCCACCTCCCTCCCACCCCTCAGCCCCAAATCCAAGATTTCATAGCCTTCGCACCCACCCAAGCAGGTTCCCTCACACACACCCTTTGTTTTCTTCCTCTTCCACGGTTCCTTAGGGAAAGGCGCCTTCTTTAGGGATGAAGAGCTACCTACAGCCCATTCCTAGCCTCCGACACCCCAAGGTCAGCTCAGCCTCCACTGGAGGTGAGGAAGAAGAGCAAAGGGCATGGGGTAGGTAGGGCTGCCCTCCAGGAGCTGCCCCTTCCCCGGGAGCCAGTCAGAGCTGGGGAGGAAGGCAAAGGCATCCTGGGGAGCTGTCACAGAGAGGAATGGGGTCGGGGAGTGGGGGTGACAAGTACAAATAAAGAGAAAGTTTGGGGAAACAGACAACAAGCCCAGCTGTGCTAGTGACGTGGAGGGGAGGTACGGTGAGGGACGAGCCATGGCCTTATCCAACCCCAGGCTCCACCAGCCCCAAAGTGGCTTTGCAAATCCAAACATTTTAAGGAAGGGGTTTGGGGTTGGAAGAGAAACAGCACAGAGGTCTGTACTGTGGATTTTCATCCAGGGTGGTGGAAACCCCAGAAATGTCTCCTCTGCCACCGTTTTAGATGGCTCCCAGACCTCATGCCAGCAGAGGGAGGGTGACTGTCAGCAGGTCAGTCCCAGCACCATGCCCCCCTCGCAGTGGGCCTCTGTGTCTCAGGCCTGGCCAGGCTCTCTGCCCCTCAGAGCTCCTCGTGGACCCGCTCCTGGTCCTCATCTGACTTCAGCTTGAGCTCCTCGACTGTGATCTTGCCGTCCTGGTTGCGGTCCTGGTTCTGGAACATGTCCCCTATGGTTTTCTCAGGGTCCTGCCCAGGCATGAGACGTCCTTTGCCCTCACTCACTTGAGCCTTGATGAAGGTGGAGAACTGGGGGGAGGGGAGAGCCAGGGAAGAGGGGAGTGAGCATCATGGCCTTGGGAGGGGCCCTGGGTGGAGGCCAGTGAGTGCTTTCTTTTTCTTTCTTCCCAGGCTGCCCCACATGCGGCAATTCAGGAAGGACTGGGAAGGGCACTGGTGCTGGAGTCCTGGTGAGGGTGGGGGTGGAGGCATGGCACGGGGATAGTCCGTGCCTGGGCTTGGGTAGGGAACAGTCTACATGTGTTCCCAGAAGGCAGGGACGAGGAGCCTGAGGCATGGGACTCAGCACAGGCAGGAGCACAATGGCGGGTGGACAGGCCAGAAGAGGGATGCCTTCTTCCTAGATGCTTCCTGGGTTGGGGGAGTTCGTGAGCATGGTAATTAGACTGAACCTTCACCCACCTCCTCTGGAGGGACCTCTCCATCCTTGTTGAGGTCCATGTCTTCAAACAGGTTAGCAGGAGGGTCCTCGTGCCACACAAACAGGTAGCCTGTGGGCAGCCCATCCTCCCGGGACACCAGCTCCACCTCAAACCGTAGCACAGCACTGCCGGGGACGCCCCGGGCTGGATGGAAGGCGGGAGAGGAGGGAGGGGTCCCAGTCAGGCCAGAGTCTGGGCCTTGCTTTGCTGCTTCCCAGCCCACAGGCCTGTTTTCCCTCTTGGTGCTGGGCTGGAGAGTGGGGCACGGGATGTTTAAGGAGCCATCCTGCAGGCATTCCTGACTCCTCCCGCCAGCCATCAGGCCCACAATGGGCAGGAGCAACAGGGACGGATGCCAGTCTCACAGTTTCGGACTGAGCACGGTGGCTCACGCCTGTAATCCCAGCACTTCGGGAGGCCAAGGTGGGTGGATCACCTGAGGTCAGGAGTTCAAGACCAGTCTAGCCAATATGGCAAAACCACATCCCTACTAGAAATACAAAAATTAGCTGGACCTGGTAGCAGGTGCCTATAATCCCAGCTACTTGGGAGACTGAGGCAAGAGAATCGCTTGAACCTAGGAGGTGGAGGCTGCAGTGAGCTGAGATCATGTCACTCACTGCACTCCAGCTAGGTGACAGAGTAAACCTCCATCTCAAAAAAAAAAAAAAAAAACATTACTTTTTTTCTCATCCCCTCACCTCCATTCTCCCCATGGGCCAAGTGCGGGGGCACGATGAGCTGCCGCCTCTCTCCCACACACATGCCCTGCAGGCCTGTGTCGAGGCCTTCGATCACTTTGTTGGCCCCCAGAGTTGCCTCCTGGGGGGCCCCGTAGTCATGCCTGGGGGGAGAGCAGATGCCCGGGTCAGCAGCCACCCTGTGCCCTGTCAGTGTATACCCCACTCTCTCTGAGGTGGGCCCAGAACAAGCGCTCAGTTCTGGAGTTGCTCCCACTGGTGACTTGGGCCATGCAGCAGAGTGCAGGGGCCCAGCGGTGCAGATGTGGGGTTCCCTTCTCATCTCGCCTCTGCCCCTAAAATATAGCCTCGAGGGCTCATGGCTCCCATGTCAGTTTCATCTCTGTGAAATGTAAAGAGCAGTTCTCCCACAGTTGCTGGCTTCACCTTCCCTCCCCGTGAAGCAGAGAATCTCATCTCATGGTTCCCCGACAGGCTCTGAAATGGGACTGAAAGAAGCAGCAGGAGCCTGAAAGCTCCCCTGGGGCTCAAGGACCAAGAGGGAGGAGCAGGTGTCAGGGTGCTGTGAGGAGAACTCCCCATGCCTGAGCCCACCCACGTGCCCAGCCCCGGCCCCACCCCAGACCCACGAGGTGAAGAGCTGGGTGCCGTCCAGCAAAGAACAGTTGTAGTGGTATCGAACAAAGTCGCCAAGCTTGGTGGTCTCATTGCAGGTCTCAGATGGTCGGGACAGTGTCTTGATTTCCACCACATCCGCAGGGTTGTGGAAGTCAATGACGTGGACGTTGAAGATGAGCACGGCTGAGCCAGGGATCTTGTCTCCTGAGGCCAGAATCAGGGAGTGCGGTCAGCTCAGAGCACCAGGAAGGGCTTCTTGAAGTCTCTCCATGGGGGCCCCTAGACCTAATACCCATTCCCGGCCCTGGGGAGCCGAAGGAGGATGGGATGGGATGTTTGTCCAGAGTGAATTCTAACACACTCTCATTGGGGTGAGGGGCAGGGGGAGGCGGCTTTCCAGTTAGAAAGCTCTTTTCCACTCACCGTCTTGCAAACTCCCAGTAACTTACCCTGCGGATCAGCATGGCTTGTCCATTTTACAGGTGAGGACACTGAGGCTCCCAGCACAGCTGGGTCCTGGGGGTATGCTGCTTCTGTTTTTCCACAACCACCCTCCCTCCCCAGACTCAGGAGTTGGCTGCCCTTCTCCACTAGGGAAGGGAGAAGTGGGACGCCACCCTGGAGGAAATTGATGAAGTCTGTGTGGCGGGAATCAGAGTGACCAGATGTAAGCTGCATGCATTTTCTGTGATGAGTGGGGTAGCGTGGTGGCTAGAATCCCACTGTGGAGTAGGGATGGGGGGCGGCCTGGCCATGAGGGGCAGTTCAGGGGAGGAGCTGAGGTGGTGGCTGGGGAATGCCCCTACCAGTTCCATTTTCCCCGTAGGCAAGGTGTGGGGGGATGGTAATTCTCCGGCGCTCCCCTACGCAGGCGCCCTGCAGCCCCTGGTCCATCCCGGGGATGATGTAACCCTGCCCGATATAGGTATTGTAGGTGTGGTTTCGGGAGTAGCTGCAATAACAAGGCGGGAGGGCCAGGAAGGGAGTCAAAGGGGCCCTCCCCTTCCAGGCAGCTCAGAGTGCCCACCCAGCTTCTTCCACATTTTGCCCAGCCCCTGCCCTCCCACCTTAAGACCCTCCGGACCTGGAATCAAACAGGGTGCCGTCCATCAAGGAGCCATTGTAGTGATAGCGCATGAAGTCCCCGGCCACGGCTCTGCGGACACAGCCCGGGGGGAGCTCCAGCGTCTCTAGCTGGACAGTGTCCTTTGGGTTGTGCACGTCAATCAGGAGGGCGTGAAAGACCAGCGAGGCCTGCGGGGGGATCACTGTCCCTGGGGAAGGGATAGGTCTTGAACCATACAGGTGGAGAGCAAGCTCCTTCTTGACTCAGGAAGGCTCCCTGGGCACCATGCAAGGAGACACTAGCCCTGCTCCAGAGCCCTTTCCCGTCCACCAGCAGCCCTGCTTCCTGCTCCTCCAGTAAGGCCTGACCTGGGTTTTCCCCAGGGCCACCACCAGCTCATACCGAGCCTTCGTGTGAATCAGAATAAAGCACCCCTTCTTAGTGAGACGAGCACCAAGGGTAGAGTTTATCCCGCCTTGCATCCTTGGCTGGATGCCATTGTGCAGTATACAACCTGAGCAACTGTAATGTGGAGGCCTGGTTTTCCCCCTTCTGGAGAATTTCCCCTTGACTCCTTGCCCACCCTCACCATAGCCTTTCTCGCCATAGGCCAGGAATGGAGGGATGATAATCTTTCTTCTCTCTCCAGGACACATGCCCAGCAGCCCCTGGTCCATGCCCTTGATCAGCCAACCAGAGCCGACGTAGGTGTCGTAAGTGCCGCCCCTACTGTAGCTGCAGAAAATGAGGTGGGGGTGGGAGAGGCAGGCTGGACTCCTGCTCCCCATGCCACAGTCCCCAGTGCCTCAGGGCTCCCCTCTGGCCCCTTACCTGGTATCGAAGGAGGTGCCGTCCAGCAGGGTGCCGTTGTAGTGGTATCGGACAAAGTCGCCGTCCTGGACCATGCGGGGGCAGTGGGGCGGGCGCAGCAAGATGCTCACCTGCACGGTGTCTTCCTTGTTCCACACATCCAGCAGAACCACGTCGAAGTAGAGGGTGGCATCCGGCGGAATGAGCCCTGCTATGAGGGCACAGCAGCATGGAGGTCTCAGAGATGTGCTCTGCCAACCAGGATACCAGCCAGGGGCCTTCCTCTCATCCCGAACCAGGAGACCCAAACCAGGCATACAGCTGCCACTATGTTTGTTTGTTTGTTTTTTAAGAGCTAGTGGGCTGGTCAGAGTGGCTCATGCCTGTTATCCCAGCACTGTGGGAGGCCAAGGCAGGCGGATGGCTTGAGCCCAGGAGTTCAAGACCAGCCTGGGCAACATGGCGAAACACCATCTCTACTAAAAACAGAAAAAAATTAGCCACCCATGGTGGT